ATGATAGCCAAGAGTTACAGAGTAAGCCTGGTTACAGAGTAAGATTCCATCTCCAAACAACAAAACCAAACCCCCAAAGGGGTTCCACAAAATATCCACTAAACTTACTGTGCCGGGTATTTTGGGGTACTAGGGAGACAGTGGGGGACAAGCAGGACCTGTCCTCATCATGTGTGTCTATCATATTCTGGCCAGAGAAGACTGACAATAACCAGGTATGTGCAAAGACAGGTTACACACTGAGAAACGTCAAGCAACTGTACCAGGGGAGGGTGGCATGGGTTTTGTTGTGGTCTCAGCAGGCCTCCGTGGAAGTGGCTTGATGAGGCTATGGCAGTTGATAATAATAACATGGTGGTAATTAGCTGACATTTATTTACTTATTTGTGTGGAGCTCGGTGTGAAACCCTGGGTCTTGTTCCTGTTAGGCAGGGTCTCCACCACCAAGTCTTCCTTAGCCCCTAGCTTATATTTGTTCAGTGTTGGGGGCACTATGCTAGGCAGTTTTTGTGGGTTACTTGTTTGGTTCTCTTGATGGCCTAGGTGCTATTAGTGTGTCTGCTGTATAGATGAGGCAGTTGTTAAGATTACGCTTCCAGGTACCCTGCCATCCCCCAAGTTGCATTTTCTGAAGCTTGTCTTAGCCTGGGAGGGGAGATAACTACCCTAAAGGGAGGAATGACCAGGTTTCTTTTTCCAGAACACAAACGAGAGATCTATGACCGCTATGGCCGGGAAGGGCTGACGGGGGCAGGTAGGTGGAGTAGTGGGGTACCAGGATGAAAATGGGTCAAGGAGGGAGGGGCAGGCAAATTCTTGCAGAGTATGCTCTTCCTAAGGTTTTTGGCCATGTCTTACGTGGTGGGGGGGGGGTCCCCTGGCTCAGGGCCATATGTACTCTCTAAGTCCCCTCCTCATCCCTACTCTTCCAGGAAGTGTTCCCTCTCAAACAGAAACTGGTGGCGTGGGACCTGGCTTCACATTCACTTTCCGCAGCCCCGAGGAAGTCTTCCGGGAGTTCTTCGGGAGTGGAGACCCTTTTTCAGAGCTCTTTGGTATGTAGAGAGAGGATGGTTCACCTCCCTCCTCTGGCATGCTGTCTATCCTCTGGGGATCTCTCAGGCTAGAGTCTGAGAGGGAATTGGAATTTCACAGACAGACAATTTGAGGCTGTGTAGGCGTGAGTCCAGCAAAAGCTAGGACAGAACCTCACACACTCCAGGACTCACGTGACACACCAGTGACACTTTACAGACTGGCCTTATTAAATGACAACAACAACACATTGTTAAACTTCCACAACAGCCACCGGGGGAACAAGACTCCTAGCGTCATGTGACAGCAGGAGCAGCATTACAACAGACACCATTTTTTTTTTTAATGAATAATATATATCAAGAACCCTGCATCCCCTAAACCTCGTGTAAATCCTGAGAGGGGAGTAATTTTAATTCAGATGAGAAGACACAAGCATATTAGTTAGCTTAGAGTCACACAATAAATGGCATGCCTGGGTGACCAGGAAGGAACTCAGAGGTAGACGCCTGTCTAGCATGTGCAAGGCACTGATTTCAGTCCTCAGCACCACAAAACAAAACAGGACAGAAAGTAAACCTGGTGATTTGAAGACTCCGTTGACAAGCATGGTTACCCATGCCTGTAAAACACTCAGCACTTGAGAGCTGGACATGGTGAAGCACATATTTAATTTCTGAACTCGGAGCCAGAGGCACTCTGTGAATTAGAGACTAGCCTAGTTTGTATAGCAGTTTCCAGGCCAGCCAGGGCTACACAGTGAGACTGTCTCAAAAACCAACCAACCAATCAAACAAACAAACAAAAAGAACCCCAAAACAAAAAAAAAACCCTTTTCACTTGGGAGGTGAAGGCCCATGTTCAGAGATTCAAAGTCATCCTTATGTATCTATCTATTAAATTTGAGGTTAGCTTGAGCGACTGAGACCCCTTTTCAAAAAAAAAAAAAAAAGTTTTAAAAATTTGCAAATTTTCACAACACAACCAGGAAAATCAGAAAATTTGCACAACCCAAACCAGGAAAAATCAGAAGTGTCGGTGTTGCTCATCATCTTGATTTCTAGGCTTTAAAGTGTCCGGCACACATATGGTTTTGGAGGCTATCTCCTTACCAGCTTCTAATCTCCTTCTTGCAGATGAATTGGGCCCCTTCTCGGAGCTTCAGAACCGGGGTTCTCGACACTCCGGCCCTTTCTTCACCTTCTCTTCCTCTTTTCCTGGCCAGTCTAGTAAGCACTGTCCCTTTCCATTTTTGCAAATCGCGAACCCTGGAATTGGCTTTGCTTTTGCTAGGCGGGGCAGATCTGAGTGAGGCCCCCAAGACTCCTGGCTTTCAGTGCTGGTGATCAGTAGCATGGAGTCTCCCTCTCACAGCCTCCCCTCTGCCTCCTTTGTCCCAATGCCAGATTTCTCCTCGTCGTCTTTCTCCTTCAGTCCCGGGGCTGGTGCTTTTCGTTCTGTCTCTACAGCTACTACCTTTGTCCAAGGACACCGCATCACCACACGCAGGTGAGCACTCCTTCTGGGGCCCTACAGGTGGAAGGTCTGGGGATGAGGTGTACAAGCAAGTGCTGTGTGAGCATGGAGTCTGCCCTGACCACAGTAACTGTCAGAGCCTGGACCAGTCTCTCCTCATTGACTGAGCTGTGCCGTCTTCCACAGAATCATGGAGAATGGGCAGGAGCGGGTAGAGGTGGAAGAGGACGGACAGCTGAAGTCAGTCACAATCAATGGTGAGTGGGTGGGGCTTCTGGTGGGAAGCCTTAGACCCTTGTGGCTCCTACCTCCCTTGGGGTGGGGCTAGCGGGAGAAGAGTCATTAGCATCATCGTTAGTGGGATGCCTTACATTTGCAAGGCTTCTCTGTGTGAGTGATACCAGGCATTGAACCCAGAGCCTGAGGCATGCTGGGCCGACTCTACCACTGAGCTAGAGCCTCAGCCTTTAAAGGACATGCACGTATGCAGGGCCACTGTGGGGGTGCTTTGTTTCTCTGTCTCTGTCCTCAGGGTGTGTGTGTGTGTGTGTGTGTGTGTGTGTGTGTGTGTGTGTGTGTGAGAGAGAGAGAGAGACAGAGAGAGAGAGAGAGACAGAGACAGAGACAGACAGAGACAGACAGAGACAGACAGACAGACAGAGAGAGATACATTCTGTGCATGAGCCCATGAGTGCACCTGTAGAGGCCAAAGGTCCATGTCTGTTGTCTTCCTCTATTGTGTTTGTTGTTGTTGTTTTGTTTTTGGATTTTTTTTGAGACAGGGTTTCCCTGTGTAACAGCCCTTCCTGCCCTGGAACTTGCTCTGGAGACCAGGCTGACCTTGAACTCACAGAGATCCACCTGCCTCTGCCTCCCGAGTGCTGGGATTAAAGGCTTGCTGTGCCACCACTGTCTGGCCTCTATTTTGTTTTTTAAAATTACATATGTGTGTGTGTGTGTGTGTGTGTGTATTTATATATACAATTATATATACTTATTTTAATATATAAATATATATTTATTTTAAGATTCATTTTTGATTATGTGTAGTTGTGTGTGCCTATGTGTCTGTGTCTGTGTAGTTGCTCACAGACCAAGGCATCTCTAAGTCCCCTTGGAGATGGAGATGGAATTACAGGAAGTTGCTAGCCTCCTGATATGGATGCTGGGGTTGAACTTTGGTCCTGTGGGGGAGCAGTACCTGCTCTTAACTGCTGAGCCATCTCTCCAGCCCCAACTTTGCATTTACTTCTTTTGAGAATCTCATACCTGCGTACAATGGATTTTGATGACGCTCATGCCCTACCTTCACCCTCCAACTCCTCCCCACTTCATGTCCTCTTTTCCCTCCCTCATTTTTGAGGCAGAGTCTCTCCCTGAACTTGGAGCTCACTGATTTCACTTAACTGGCTGGCCAGCAAGCCCCTGGGACCCTCCTGCCCCTGCGCTTCCAGCCCTGGAATTACAGGTGTGCATTGCCACACCCTGCTTTTTCCTCGGATGCTGGGGATCTGAACTCAGGTCCTCATGCTTGCACAGCAGGCACTTTACACATTAAGCTGTCTCCCAGTCCTGCATTCTTAGCATAAGACAGGAGTAAAGCAGTGCAGATCATATCTATCCAGTTTTCATTTGAGGGGCCTGAGGCGAAGCATGTAGCCTCTAGCCCAAAACTACTGTCTACCATATAAAAGGGATAAATTAAGCCAAGAATCTCTCTCTCTCTCTCTCTCTCTCTCTCTCTCTCTCTCTCTCTCTCTCTGTGTGTGTGTGTGTGTGTGTGTGTGTGTGTGTGTGTGTGTGGCGTACACAGGCACTGGAGTATGAAGGCAGAGCCTCGTACATATACATGCTAGGCCACAGTACCAGTCCAAGATCAAACTCAGGACTCAGGATTCCTAAGGTGGGGTTCTTCCCCAAGGACTGTCGCTGTGGCTAGCTCACCTGCCAACGCTGAGCACTATGACAAGTACTTTACATGGGTTATCACATTTAGTCCTTGGAGCAGTTTGCATGTGTAAACTGTCTCCTCATTCCCATGTCATAGGGAGGCACAGGGAGGCTGTGTCACAACCTGGGATGCCAAATGCATGCGTGTCAGTTCCAGAGAGAGGCTGTGAATGGGCAGGGCCATTGCTGTGTGAGGTGGCCTGGCCTGGTGTTCTAGCTTGGGTTTGGGACATGATGGTGGCTGTGACTCTCGCAGGTGTACCAGATGACCTGGCACTAGCCTTGGAGCTGAGCCGTCGTGAGCAGCAACCTTCAGTCTCCTTCAGGTTGGGGAGCACACAGGTCCAGCCGACGACTCCTGTCTTCCGTCCCCTTGGCAGCAGCCCTTCTGAGGATGAGGACCTACAGCTTGCCATGGCCTACAGCCTGTCAGAGATGGAAGAATCTGGGCAGAAGCCAGCAGGTGGGCGGGGGGCACAGCAACGATGGCAGGGGCGGGGAAAGGCCCAGCAGCAAGACCTTAATATGGGAGGCACGCATAAGGGGGTGAGGTGGGAACCGACCAAACCCAGCCCATCCTCAGAGGAGAAGGCCTCTCGTTGCCTTATTCTCTGAAAACCAGGCCGAGCCTGACCTGATTCAGGTTCTGACTCAGAGTCCAGCTTACTGGGAAATGCAGAATGGAGTGTGGCCTGAGTTGCAGGATCCCAAATTCTGTCCCTCCACAAGTTTCCCTGCCAGGCCCACTATCCTATAGTGTGGACTGGGGATTTATTGTGCTCTGTCCAGTGCTGATAAGTCCCTGGGTAGATCCCAGGATTGGGGGCAACAGAGCCATGGAAGGGCCTGTGGAGCCCAGAGGCACTGGTTGGATCAGGCATTGCTGAGGGACATTAGTGGGACTTTTGTGCCTGTCTTCTGCCATCTATGTTGCTGATGTTGTCAAGGAAGGAGGACTTGACCTGCCATGCTCTGAGCTCAAGTTGGCAGTTCCCCCAGGGAGCAGCACAGGCTGAGTGGAGCCTCTGCTGTCCTTGCCCAGCTGAGGGCCTCCTGGGTTCTGTGGAGAAGAGTTCTCACCTGTCGTCGTCTCTGTCTCCCCTCTGGTGCTGCTCTCCTCCTGCTCTGCTCTCTGCAACAACCTGTGACTGCGTTGCTTGCTTTTGCTGCTGCTTGGCTAGGACTCCCTCCTCCTCCTCCTCCTACTCCTCCTCTTTGAAGCCTCAGTGTGCCCAGGAAGATGCTGGGGCCAGTGAGGCCGTGAGATCTTCTGGGGAGGCTAGCTAGGTGGGTTTGAAGCCTCTCGGCCCTCCAGAGTCTCAACCAGAGTCAACTCCTCTTCCCTCCTCCTTGCTGCCTCAGCCTGCCATAGGACTAGGCAGAGGTGAGGCTGGCTACCCTTGGAGAGGTGGGATAGGGCCAGGGTGACGCAGTGGGAGGCCCTAGGTGGGGACTATATCTGTATTATTGTCCATCATGCATCAGAGCTCAGGGGCTGGCCACAGGGTTTGGCCTCGGTTGTGCATGCTCGGCTCCATCCTCCATCTGCTTGCAGCTGACCCTCTCTCCTGTCACCCACCCCTGCTCTCTCCCCAGATGTGTTCTGAGCTGGATATCCTGGATACAGAGTTGCTGCAGTTCCAACAGGACAGCGCCCTCCCCCATGTGCTAGGAGGGAATACTCTATCTCTCTCCCTCACTTTAGCTGAGTGTAGGGCTGGGGCCTGGGTGGTGGGTGGGGACTGAGTGGGAGGCACCCATAGTCTTAGCCTCTGAACTCTCTCCCCTGGGTGCTTAGTGCTGTGTCTTGCAGATTACAAGTCCCAGAGTGCAATGCACCCTGGCCTCGTTTCTGATAGCTCTTATCCCAGGGGAAGCGGTGCTCTATTATAAAGCTGGGCTTCTTGGGATATGTAGTTCCAAACCTGACAAGTCTGTCACTCTCTGACTGGGGAGATCTTGTCTTTCATCTTGTCCCTGGGCAGGGGTGGTGAGAATTGTGAGTGATGGAGAAAAGACCAGAACTTTGGTTCCTCTAATACTTCTTGCTAGACCCAGGTTGGAGTGAGCATACCCAAGTCCCGTAGCATCTGAGAGGGCGTTTCCCTTGGGCAGCCTGGGGTTCAAGGACTAAGCTAGTGGATGGAGTAGGTATGGCATGGTCCTGGAAGGCTGGTGGCTGTGGGCTGGCAGAACATGGGAGAGAAGGCTGCCTTGGCTGGAGTGTGTATGGCGAAGACTGGCATGCCAAGGGAGTGTTGGACATATTGCTTGAATGGCTTTCTTTGGCCTCTGACCTTGCTGCCCATTCTTTCCATCATCCTTCACCCTCCATGAGCCACCTGTCTGCTGGGGAGTCCAAGGCCAAGGGGGGATTGGTGGGACAGGCTGTGGCCAGCTTCTGTAACCCCGAGTCTCTGAGACCCACCAAAGCTAGATGAACTGAGCTCAGACTCAGGGAAAATGGAAGCCAATAAAGTTGAGTTTTGAGAACTTAGTGCCCTGTGTGCCTCCTTTCCAAGATGGCCTAAGAGGGACCCTCTGAGACAACGAGATGACACTTGGGCCTTATACCTTCCTTAATCCAAACAGCTGGAGTCACAAGCCTCTGTCAGGTTGTCCTCACCAAGTGTGGTGTGTGATACTAAGAAATGTTTCCTCTCTTCCAGGGCCCCACAACTAGCTTTGCCTTGAAGTTTCCTCTTGTAAGGGGACCTAGTTCCCAGTTCTCTGCAGTACAGCTAAGACCAAACTAAGTTAAAACTTGATTGAAAGCATAGGGACTCACAAAAAACAAATGGTGTGTTGTAGTGTGTGTGTGTGTGTGTGTGTGTGTGTGTGTGTGTGTGTGTGTGTGTGTGTGTTTTCAAGACAGAGTTTCTCTGTGTAGCTCCAAAACACAGGGATCCACCTGCCTTTGCCTCCTGGGTGCTGGGATTAAAGGTGTGAGCCACCGCCACTGGTGACACCTGATGATTTTAAACAGTACCCAAGTGCTCTAGACTAAACCTCTCCAGGGAGTGTGAGCCAGGAGCATGTGGAATGCCACCCTACCCAGTGTCCAGGCCCAGGGAGGAAGGAACCAGGAGCCCCTCCCCGCTTATTGTCTCCTGGCACAGGTCCAGCACTTTTGCTGTTCTACAAGAGGATATATGGTTCTGGCTCCCTCACCCCAGAAGATTGTCTCCTGGCACAGGTCCAGCACTTTTGCTGTTCTACAAGAGGATATGGTCCTGGCTCCCTCACCCCAGAAATCACCATTGTCTTCACCTTCAGGGGTCAAAGGGCCTAGCCGATTTCTCTAAGCTAAAGCAGCAGCCTACCCTGGAGGCGGGATTCCAAGCCCCCATCCTGAGCATCTGCTGGGACTTGCAGAATGGTGCCTTTGCCATGTAGGACACTGCAGCTGAGCCTCAGCAGAGGACAGATGGTGGAATGGAGCTTTCTCACCCCCAGTGTTCAGAATTCACCATGTTTTCATTTGAACTCCATCAGGTGTGAGTGGCCCCAGGCCTTTGGCTCAGCTCTGCTTGTGTGTGTGTGTGTGTGTGTGTGTGTGTGTGTGTGTGTGTGTGTGTGTTTTCGAGCGCGCCTGGACTCCTGGTCTGAGGTTACTTATGACATACAGATGAGGGCTCCTGGGGCAGAGAGTGGGGGGAGCATAAGTCACCCTAAGGGTAATGGGCTGAAAGGAGGATAAGAGAAAAGGGACACACTGTCCCCCCAGGTGGTCCTGCCCCAGCACCGCACTGGCAGAGCCGGCTGTGGCATCTATGACCTGAAATGTGGCAGGCAGTGGGTAGATGGTCCCCACAGCCCTAAGCACAATCCTGTATGACAAAAATGTCATTGCTAAGGCTGAAGGGCATGTAGCAGCATTCTAAGAACTGGGAGGAAAGGCTATATGAAGGCCCACTGCCTGGGTTTGGACCCTGACTCCACCACTTTGAGTTTCATAGCCTGGGCTAGGGCCATGCTGCACTCTTGTGTATGAAGGATCATTGGTCATGGTTTTGTGGAAATAAAACTAATACATGCGCCAGGCGTTGGTGGCGCATGCCTTTAATCCCAGCACTCGGGAGGCAGAGGCAGGCAGATCTCTGTGAGTTCGAGGCCAGCCTGGTCTCCAGAGTGAGTGCCAGGATAGGCTCCAAAGCTACACAGAGAAACCCTGTCTCGAAAAACAAAGACAAAAAACAAACAAACAAACAAACAAAAACTAATACATGCATGGTGCCTTGGAACCTGCCAGCCTCCCAGAGGCCATGCCATTAGGCACTTCTCAAACCAAGGACAGCCATGGTGCCTCTGCAGCCAATGTCACCTGTGGCTCTCTGCTTTCTGTGTCTCCAGGGAGACAGGGCAGGCCAGCTGAGACCCAAACTACAGCTAGAGCCTGGAAGCTTAACAGAATTGCAAAGATGTCCATATTGCAGCTGCACAGACAACACACTAACTTTATTCACATTGATACAAAAGTAGATTTTTCTAGAAATGTTCTCTTGTGCTAGGCAGAAGGCTGAGCAGGGTCAAGGTGGCAGGCCAGTGGTGGCAGGGCTGGGGGATCTGGGGCCCTCTCATCCTGCTCTGTCTATACACTGCAGGCTGGTGGGGGTGGGGGTATGCAGACTGGCTGGGGACATCCAGAACCGTGGGGAGAGGGAGACAGAGACTCAGGTAGGATGGGGCTGGAGCACACTTGCTTCTGGTGTCCACTCCTCCCCCTGCCTGCTGTCTGTTTCCCGTGGGCTGCCTAGGTTCTAGCATGAAAGAAGCTCAGTGGATCAGCCCCTTCTCTCCCCCACTTCCTTCCACACTGGGCTGGGAAGGGCTGCCATGCCCAAGACGGGCCAAGATGGCAGGTGGGTAAGGGCTGAAGAGTGGGTGCGCAGATGCTCATACAGGCAGAAGGAGCAGAGGCCAGCATGCCCACTGAGGTGCCCAGGGGGCTCACTACTGGGGCAGGGCCATGAGGATGGCATTCACCTCCTCCGCCACGGCTGTCAGTGCAAACTCAAACTGGTCCTGTGCAAGGCCAGGGGCAGAAGGGTCAGTGGAAACCTAGCCTCTGCCTCTGCCTGGGGGGACATTGCAGGTGTGCAGGGCACTGGGCATTTGGAAGAAGGGGAGGTGGCCTGGGGGGTTCAGGAGGAGCAGACTGCTATTGGTTTCTTCTTGGTGGCCATGAAGAGAATGCTTGGGAAGGGAAGTGACTAGGGATAGGCAGGGAGGCACTGTCACCTTAGAGCGGACAAGGCCGGGCCGCTGGTCACGGACATGCTCCAGGGTGGCAGCAATGTCAATCTCCTTCACTCCTGGGATAGGGTGGAGGAGGGGATGCTTACAGGGGTGTCCAGGGGAGAACAGGTGCCATAAAGCCTGGGCATCTTTGGCAAAGCTTGGAGATGTGAGCACGTGTTCCCCAGTGGGCTCTCAGACCCACTGGGTCCTGGGGAGCCATGAGGGACAAGGAGCTGTGGGTCCTGTGGGAACAGACCTTACCTTTTGCCATGCGATTCAGTACCATGTCAATAAGAATGTAGGTGCCTGTCCTCCCTGCACCATCACTGAAATAGGAGTTGGTGACAGACAGGCTTAGCCCTGACAAGGCAGGAAGGGAGCAGACTTGGGGGCTGGGGTGAGGACATTGGCTGATTCCTGGAGTTGGCCTGGGAAGGGCATCAGTAAGCCAGGGGTGAGAAAACAGGTCTTGAGTGGCAGGCCTGTGAGTCGTGGCATGTGGACAACTGGAAAGTACGGCCATGTCTCAGTTTTCAGTGGAGGCAGCAGGAGAGAGTGGGAATGGCCCTCTCCAGCCCGGGGCCAGGCTTTTGTTCAGCCAGCTCTCCATAGAAAGTGCCAAAGAGTAAGCATTTCCAGTGCTGTGGGCTGACATTCTCGCGCGCGCGCGCGCGTGCGTGCGTGCGTGCGTGCATGCGTGCGTGCGTGCGTGTGTGTATTTTTAACTCATTGAATGCAGGATGTGCCCATGGTTTGTGTACAAGAAAAAGGACCAGAGAGGAGGAGAGCGTGAGGAAGACCCCAGCCCAGGGCCTCTGTGTGAAGGGTCCCCACCCACCTGCAGTGCACTATGATGGGGCAGGATCGGCCTCTGTAGCACTTGTTCACCTTCCTGCAACAGAGAAGTGGGTGTGAAGGCCAGAAGCCACCAGCCACAAAGAAGAAAATGGTGCTAATCACACATCAGTGTGTGCTCACATACTGACTGGCCTTCCCCCTCTCCTG